AGGAGGGGGGAGTGGGCCCAGGGCTGGCAGGAGCAGGAGGTGAGGGGAGCGCTGGAGATGAGGATGTGCATAGATACAGACAGGGATGCTGAAGGGAGAGGTGAGAGCGGGGAGCCCTGTGGGAAGGAGGGAGGCATCTGTGAGTGCTGCTGAGCAGGGAAAGACTTCAAAGTGACGGAGACTGGATGCATTAATGCCAGGCCGAGCTCAAAGGGGAATGCGAGGGCCACAGGCCTGGACAGAGGAAACTGCTGGGGCCATCCTGGGGGCTGGATGTTATAATGTTCCTTAAACAGGCCAGGCAGGGGAAGACAGGAGCTCTTCTGGGCTACTGCGTGAAGGTGAAGCTGTGGGACAGATTGGGAGAGGCACGTGCGTGGTTCTCCTCCCAGGCAAGGCAGAGAGTTGGGAACGGCTCCGCAGGTTTTGCAGAGGAGAGGGTGATGAGGTGGCGAAGCGTCAGGCTCTGGTGCTCAGTGGGTTTGAAGAGTCTGTGCAGAGATCGGAGGAGACGTCAGGAATCCTTGGTTGTCCTGGAGTCCTCTGGCTCCACAGTTTGCTTGCACTCTAGTTATTTTTGGCTCCTTGTGATGTTATCATAACAACATCTATAACATTTTCTTCCTGACTAGCTTTCAAAAAAGGCGCTTATGGTCTTGCGAGCGCCATGTCTCAGAGGACATGCTATACTGGCCTTTTCTCACCTCTTTGTGGTGTCAGGTGCAGCAGACATGGATTCCCAGGAGATCAAAGAGCTGCAGCAAGAAGTGATGGAGGAGCTGGGAATCTCCATGGAGGAGCTCCAGGATATCATCGACAAAGAGCTGGAGAAGTTTGAGTGCGTGAAACAGAGGAAGCAGCAGCTGGAGGAGCTGGAGAAGTGCGTGAAACAGAAGGAAGAAGAAGTGGCTCGCGTTGACCGGCTCTTTGACGACGCTTCAAGGTAAGCACGCTTGGAATTGCAGCCACGTGTCAGAGTTGGGCTGCAGAGGAGAGGGAGGTCACTTGATGAGTGCTGCCCATTTCCCTTCGGTGTAGACTGACGCTGTGATTCCGCGTCGGTTCGTTTGTGTGTGGTTATTGAGGGATAATTAAAATTATTCCCCTGTGGCTTTAAATCCTTCCTGTGAATACTCTTCCCTCACCTCATCATGGTTGTATTTAATTAGCAGCTCCCCAGTGGTCAGTTCCTATTTGTTTCTGCAGTACTGTGGGATGTACAGCTGGGCTCTTCTTGTCTTTTTTTTCCCCAGAGCCATTGATAAATGTGAGATATTGGTGAAGGATCTGTACTCCAAGCTGGGCCTCCAGTACCGTGAGAGCAGTTCTGAGGATGAGGACTTGGCTGCCAAGGCCACGGAAGTGATTGAGATCCCAGATGAGGACGACGATGATGTCATGAGTATCGATTCGGGCTGGAAGCACAGTTCAGTATCTCATTGCGCCACATGGTACCGAGGGGAGGGATGGAGATCTGAGCATCTCCTGCGGGAGCATGGGAATGAGAGGGATCAGAATAAGGATATCATAAAGTTAGCCATAAGGCACGCTGGTCCGTAAGCCGGAGAGGATCAGGTAGGAAATGCCGTTAGCTCATGAGGAACATCACCGCTTGCACGGTCTGCCAGGGCCCGTAACTATTCCGTGGTTCCTGGAGTCCCAAAGTGGGACTTCTCCCTTTTCCCACCTGCCTGACTGTTGTCCCCATCAAATGCTGTCCCTGCAGGGAAGCTGCCTGTGCAGGCTGTTGTGCGTCTAGAAAGGGTGGTTTAGTAAAAGCCTTGCTTGAGTGGATTTCTTGACCGGGACAGAGAAGGCTTTTGAATGGATGCTTCTTTCTGTTCCCTCTTCTTTCGGTGACTTAACTAGGATGGGGTTTTTTCCACCCCAAGATGTTTTAAACCACTTTTTTCTCTTTAAACACAGGCGATGGTAGTCCCAGAATCGCAAAGAATCAGACTCTGGTGAGTTGGAAAAGACCTGACTATAGCGTACTTCTGAAGTGAGGTTTTGCTGGAACACTTAGGACAGCATTGTATTTGGTGCAAAAAAGAAAAGGTTCTTCATGTTTTCTTTCTCTTTCCTTCCCTTCAGATGCGGGAAGCCATGGCTGCAATGAGAAAGTCTGCCCAGGATGTTCAGAAATTTATGGATGCTGTGAACAAGAAAACGAATGCCCAGGATGCACAAAAAGGTCAGTGTGTGAGAGGAGGGGCTGGCACCCGTGTGTGCCCATACCCTGGACCTCTCTGCATCGTATGCCTGTTGGTTTTCTTACTGAAAAAGAAAATAACTATTCTGTTTCCCTGCTGGAAAGACCCATTAGGATATATTGATTCCAAATTCCTATTTTTCTTTAAGACCTTTCCGAAAGCAAACACAAGTGGTGCAGTTTCCATAACATGAAAGCTTTTTAATGATGTTTAAACCTCACTTGCTAATTACGCCATCCAGTAAAACCGAGGCACTTAGGCTGTCTGAGGTAAAGAAAAGCAAGAACGCCTCCTGTCTCAGGTCCAACAGATGTTCTTCCAATTCTGTACATAAAAGAGGGAGTCTTTGGGTGATTTCTAACTTACTTTCTGCTGTTGTTCCATGGGTAGATGCACCAGCCCCTCAGGAAACTCCTGGCACTGCCCAGCCCGTTGGCCCTGCAGCAGTTGGGAGTGATCTCAGCAATGATGGTGATCTGAACGTCGGCATGAGGATCCTGGGCAAGAAGAGAACCAAAACATGGCACAAAGGAACTCTGATTGCAATCCAGACAGTCGGTACGTCCCGTGCTTGATGCTGTGACATGGTGCTTGTGGCTTTCGGTAAGCTCTGGGTGGGTAACGTCGATCAGGCTTGGAGCAGGTCCCCTCCCGTGTCAGAACACCTAGTGCCGCTTGGAAAGAGTTGAGAAAGCAGCACGTTTCCACTAGAATATTTTACCTTCCAAATGAATTTCTGAAAGGTTTCAAGTAAGTTCTGAACTTGGATTAGAAAGGTGTAGGGTATTGGACTTCTTGTATGAAATCACTTGGCTTTTATTTATCTTGCCCTGTTGAAATGTTTTTCAGGTGCTGGAAAGAAGTACAAAGTGAAATTTGATAATAAAGGGAAGAGTTTGCTTTCTGGCAATCACATCGCTTATGACTATCACCCCTCGCCTGAGAAACACTACGTTGGCAGCAGGGTTGTGGCAAAATACAAAGATGGGAATCAGGTTTGGCTGTACGCTGGCATTGTGGCTGAAACCCCGAACGTAAAGAATAAAGACAGGTATTAATCCTCCTCCACAGTCACACACACACCCCCACCCTTTTTTGGTTTGGTTTGGTTTTAGGAAAAAAAGACGAGAGAAAAAAAAACAGGTATATTTGTATATTTGCTGTTGTGGGAGATACGTTCTTTTCTGCCCTTTCTGGGGACGTAGCTCTGAATGTTGTTTCTTCATCTTATCTCTGAAAGCTCTGGGTGGAGCTTCCATTCTATTACTCATGTCCCTGAGTCAGAAATTATATCTGGTAATTCATTCAAATTATCACACAAATATAAGTGCACTGCTCAAGGCATAAAACAAAGCATTAGGGAATATGAGCCCTAGAAGCATTTAGTGCCAGCAGTGTTGCCAGAGCACTTAAGGAGAAGAAACAGCAGGTCTAAAGCAGCCTTTTCAGTCGTGTATAAATAAGGGGCAGGACTTCTTTGATGTTGTGGTTTAGGCTTGTGGTCTTTCTGAGAAGATTCATAAAGGATATAATCACCCTCTTTGTTTCAAGTGTGGATCTGCCGTAAATGCCTAATTGTGTCAAGCTCTATCTGATACGTGTTTAATAACTGAAAATGGACTGCATTTATTACTCGTATTGCAAATTTAGTCCTCTTGCCTAGGCTGGCTGTAATGCTGATCTCTCGTCATGCAACATTTATACAGCTCCATATCCTGAAGTTATGATTCAGAGGCACACAGCGCTAAGCGGGTGCCATATCCAGCCTTGCGGGTATCCCCCTCCGAGCTCCAGGTCCCCCGCAGGCACTGGGGACCCTCTCCTGCTGTCTCCTGTCTGCAGCTGGAGCCCTAGAGGTGTCCCCAGCTCCCTCCCTGTGGCGCTGTTCGAGTCACAGTGCACAGCCTCTGCTGCTGCTTTGTCCCAGAGGCTCCAAAAATACCTTTTCTTGCAGAGATTAGGAGCAATTAAACTGTCTTTTCTCTTCCTTTACCTCCTGTGGCTGAGGCACGGAGGGAATCCAGAGCTGAGGGAAGAGGGCCTGGCTGGGCTGGGCTGTTGGAGGGCCTTTGGGCAGCCTCTCTTTTGTCTTTGGGAGCACAGGGATGGCTCGGGGCTAGGGGAGAGCTGTTGTGAAAGAAAGTGGCAGTGCTGCAAAGCTCACGATCTCCTGGCAGAAGCGATCACTTTGTTCTGTCCTCATCCACCATATCTGATTTGAGGGCCTTTGGGACTGGCAGGAGAAACCGGGAGAGGTGCTCCACTTCCATTATGTGATGTGGAACTGCATTTTATTCAACTGCATTTCCAATTCCAACTTCCAACGCTGTTGTTCTCCAGGTTCTTGATCTTCTTTGATGATGGCTATGCTTCCTATGTCAAGGAGTGGGAGCTGTACCCAATCTGCAGGCCACGTGAGTGATCCCTGCCCCTCTTGTGTCCTAACACTGAAACTGTACGAAGAGCCTTTGGGTATATGAAAGAGCGTGGGCTCGAAAGAGAAGGGACAGACTTCATGTCCCCTCTGGTGCTGTGTGTGTAGGCATTTGCTTTGCATATGAAGCTGGAGGAAATAGTGGTTTATTACCGGCAGAGTGAGTGTGCTGTCACTCCTTGCACTCTGGGTGCGTTAACATGGCTGAATGCCCTGCTGCCAAAAATCCAACCACTCGGGATTGCTGCTTAAGTGTTCTTACAGAAAAATCCACCTGGGATCTCTTTAAGAAAGAGTTAAAGGTTCTCTTTGTAAGAGTCTTTCCTCCTCTTCCCTTTCTCCCATCCGTCCCTTTCTGAACAGTGAAAAAGACCTGGGAAGACATAGAGGATGTTTCCTGCCGCGATTTCATTGAGGAGTACATCACAGCCTACCCCAACCGTCCCATGGTGCTGCTGAAGAATGGCCAACTGATCAAAACGGAGTGGGAAGGGACCTGGTGGAAATCCAGAGTGGAAGAAGTGGATGGCAGTCTGGTCAAAATCCTTTTCCTGGTAAGGCAATTTCCCTTCTCCCATTAGAGGGGGAAGGTGGGCTTCAATTTGAGTTTGGGGGGGCTGACTCTGTTGGCCTGATCAAGTCCAGTTTCCTCACTAATGTCAGACAGGGTCCTGGAGCAAGCAGGTATTTTGCTTAGTAGGTAGACCGCAGATTTCTACTGTGCATTGACGTGAAGGTGACTGTTCCGTTTGCACGACAAAAGCTTCAAAAGCCTTTTAAAGCGTTTTGCCTGTGGAACTTTAAAGTGGTAGATGAATAAGAAACAAAATCCATCATCTGCAGGTATTCTGTCCTCCTCCCTTTCTTGGTGTAAGCACCTAGCCGTGTCTTCTGTCCAAATACAAGTGCTGGTTTGCGAAGCGGGAGAGAAACTGAGCGGAAGCTGCGATATTCTGCTTGCTCCAATTCTACAAATTGCAGAAAGGGAGCAGATACACCATCTGTGCCCCCTTGGCTCCTTTCCTGTCTAGATAACTGCATAGCCACTGGGGCTGGGGAAGACGTTGTGCGCTTGCAAATTTAACCTCCCTGTCCTGGAGCAGATCCCGTTTGTGCTGAGGAGTTAGCTTGTCTCCTGAAGGAGTCTGGTTTCTCCAGCAGTGCCTCATTAATCGGTTGTTGGGCTAAGAACAGAACTGCGTTTGAGGTTTGGGGTCTTGGTATTGGGCCTCTTTGTAGATTTGGTTTGTATTCAGTGTTCCCCCGGATATGATGAGTTGCTGCCTGTGTTCTCTCTTGGCTGCATGGTCTTTCAAGAGCCTTTAGGTCAATGGTTTGCCTCCTTTCCATTCGATTCTGCTCACTGTAAAAGCACACTGCTCTTTCCCAGGCCTGTATTGTACCTGTAGGTGCTGTGAGTATTGTCTTCTCCTTGCTGCAGGATGACAAACGTTGTGAGTGGATTTACCGGGGTTCCACACGCCTCGAGCCCATGTTCAGCATGAAAACTTCCACAGCCTCCACCCAAGAAAAGAAGCAAAGTGGACAAGCAAGGACTCGTCCCAATGTTGGTATGTAGTATCTTTTTCTTGAATTTGTATCCTGGAATTTGAATGAACGCATTGTGGGTTGGCGGGGGTGGATGGGTTGGTTTGGGTTTTGGTTGGTTTTGGTGTTTTGTTTTTTTTTTTTTTCAGCAGAACTCCTGGAGATGTAAGGTTTACAGTGGGCTTTTTCTTCTGGCATAAAGATGTCACAAAACCAGACTGCAGTTGTGTGAAGTGGCCAGAATCTGTTTGGGGTGACTGGCTGTGACTCGGAGCTCAGCCAGTGACCCAGTGTTAATTGCAAATGCCTCTCTTTTGGTTGCCGTCGGGGACTAAATCAGTATTTTGTGGCTAGTGCAACAAACTTTGGTTGATGGTAGAGACTTTTCCTGTTGATTCTTTGCTTTTTCTCCCTTCCCCACTAGGTGCTGTCAGGAGCAAAGGGCCTGTAGTACAATATACGCAAGATTTAACGGGAGCCGGTACCCAGTACAAACCTTTAGAGCAAATGCAGGCAGCCTCGCTGGCTGCACGGTCCGCTTCTCCGCAGGCTGCTGAGATGGAGTAAGTACTCGAGTCAGTTCTCTGCTTCCACCACTACCTCCTTTGCGTTCCGTCTCCAGTGCTCAGCTCTTTCAGGCACCACCCTTTCCGTGTAGAGGAATCCTCAGGTGCAGGTTTCCTCCATGACTAGGCTTGTTTCCTGGTTACACAAATTGGTTTTAGTCATGCTTCTGGGGGAAACTCTAGATAAAGGCTGCTGGATGAGTAATTGGGGGCGGGAGAGCTGACAGCCCAGCACCCCCTGAGCCAAATGCCATGTTCTTACTCAGAGCTAAAGCTTTGCACTTGATGTATTTCCAAGTTAGAACGTTTGCTCCTTCTCTTCTGAAAATCTGAATTGCTCCCTCGTGTCACGATCCAGGCACTGGCCCCCGACTGCCTTGTATTCCTCCACTTGGACTGACCTGCTCGCAGACCTCAATGACTTACGAGGCACTGAGAACTCGGGATCAGTGGTTGGTCTCGGTGGTCATGGACCAAACCTGATAAAGCTAAGCCACGGCCAAGTCGCACACGTGCCTCCTGCTGCCTGGGGCCCAAGCGGGATGTTCTCGGAGGTGCAGGCTAGTCTCGAAGGAGGCCTGGATGAAGGAGGAACTCGGCCTTGTGACAAAGGGAGCCTGTTGGAGAACACCAGGGTACCCTAGCATGTGCTCTGGAACTTTAATAACTTTCTAGGGGAGAGAGATGCTGTCCCGATTCATTTTTGTCACCACTGTGGATTTCCCATCAGAATTTATGGATGCCTGGCCCCCTGCCAGCATGTCTTCTGCTGTGACTGTGCCTTGCTGCATAGGCAAAAGGGAGAAAGGAGATGTCCCAGCTGTAAGGAACCTGTGCAGCAAGTGAATTGTTGCTCATCGGATGCTCTCTAGGTGTAGCAGCATCTGAGAAACCCCACCTGCCCCCAGCCTCCCGTCTCAGGAGGGGCTTCCTCTCCAAGTACCAGTGCAATATGGCCCATTCTGCCCCTGGATGTGGAGGCTAATTTGGAAATGCTCCTCCTGTGCCATTCTGACCAGGACTTTAGAATCAAAGCCATAATAGCCGTGCTCCTCGTCTCTTAACATAACCAAGAAGAGAGGCCGATGCTGAGGGAGGTCTGCTCCAGCATGAGAAATGCAACGCTGGCTCCTCCACCGTCAGTCTAGGGCCCCACCAGCGAACAGAGGAAGAGCTGGGCTGTTGCCCTCAGACCAGGGCCCCCTGAGCTGTCGATGGCGTAGGAAGGATGTGCAGTGACGCAGCACGAAGATGATAAAGTTGGACTGCGGCGATCGGCCAGCCTGCTGTCTCATTTGCTGCCGAATCTCTCCTTTTCCATTTAACAGTGGTCACAAGAAACGTTTGGGGGTTTTGGGGGGGTTTTTTGGCTTTTCTGTCTCCCCACAGAGGCTTTGACTTTAGGATCTCGTTTTCAGATCTAATACAAGCAGACGCTATAGACGTTTCCCTGCCCTACCTTTAAATAGCGAACTGCTTAAAGACAACTGGTTTTAAACGTTGACTGAAGGCAGCATACTATATCCATGTCCCTGCTGTCCCAAGGGACCCTTTTGGGTTAAAAACACATTGGTTTTAGATTATTAAAACTAAAACTGGGAGAATGGTTTCTTCACTCTGATGTTTTGTTTACTCTGAGGAAGGCCTGGTTCTCTTCCCTCTCTAGTCTCACTTTCAAGTTCTTCTACGGTGCCAGGGAGCTGCTGTCAGCCATTTCTGGCTGTTTAAAGCCCATTGACGGAAGCTTTTTTTCTCTTACTCTTGAATTCTGAAATCTGTGTTAACACCTTGCTTTTAAGGCAGATGTTTGCAGAAACGGTCGCTCCCTCCTGCTCTCAGTGTCTCCTCCCTTTCTACCCTGATAACATAAACTATGTTCTTCCACTTGTGGGAAAACCAGTGGCTGCTTTGGGGTGTTTTCCTGTTTAATTGGTACAGATGGATTGCACATCTTGGCGGCTGTTTTCTCAGAGTGTCTTCCAAGTGCCTCCCACCTTCCCGATGTTGTGCGTCGGGCTGCAGAGGTGTTTGGGAGCCCCTCGTAGCCCTTTCGTCAGTGATGTTTTTACATTCCCTTGCACAACCTTATCTTGTTACTTGGTGCAGACAAAAGAGTCCTCTGTACTTCTTATTCCTCCCACCGCTCCGTACTGTTGCACTGATTGAGTCTCTCTAAGCTCGTTTCTGCTATTGCAGGGGTTTCTTCCTGTACTGATCTGTCCACCTTCCTGAAGTGAAGGCCTTGGACATCCTCATTATGCTCCCTCTCACCCTCATGCCTCACTTCCAAATAAATAGCAGTATGTCAGAAGTCGCTTCTAAATGTAGCTGAGTTCTGGCATTTGGTCGGGGTTGTTGCGGGACCGCTGTAGCACAAATAGGAACGGGCTGATTTTCACACTTGTTAGGAAAAAATCTGCTCGGTTTCTCTCGGATGGGGCACTGTTGCTGGCCTCCATGGGGGAGTGTTATTTGATTGCCCCTGTCTGTCTAAACCCTACCGGTTGTATGAGTGCGTCCATCTTGCAAATCGCCTCCCTTCTTCCCTCGTGCAGATGCTCCGACAGTCAGCTGGCCCAGTCGAGAAAGCAAGTGGCCAAGAAAAGCACTTCCTTCCGTCCTGGCTCCGTGGGCTCGGGGCAGTCGTCACCTTCTTCGCCCGTCCTAAGTGATACATCTCCGGCGGGAAGGACCGGTGCGGCCCAGCAGCATCGGTAAGCTGAGCTTGTTCGCACTTAGGACAAATGCAGCGATATCCCTGCATCCTTGTGAGAGTTTGGGATGCTGGTAGCGATTTGGGGCTTGTTTGGTGCAGGTTTATTTTGTTGTGGATTGACACCTTTGTTTGCCAGCTTCTCCGGTCCTGAGCATTTATCTTCCCTTCCAGACAACTGGTCGTTACGTTTCGTTGTTGGCTTGAGCTTGGAGGGTCTCTTACCAGTTCTGACCAGCATTTACCCCAGTGGGGCCCTAGCCAAAGCCTCTGACTCTGCTTATTTTTAGACAACTCCCATTTCTACGAGCTACTTGGGTCAGGGGGAAGCTGCTGTTGATGTAAATCTGCAGGTGGCTTTTCCACACTGGTGGCTTTGTGGCAATCAATCCACAGCACAGAAGCCGTTGATCCAGGTTTTGAGACCACAACCCACTCGTGCTTGTTTTCGCTTCCCTAGTTCTGATTTGAGGGGTGTTTTTGTGTGTTTTCTGCTCCCTTTGGGGCCTGCCCAGCCTTGCTCCCCAGTGATGCCGGGCTTTGGGTCTCGCTGGACTTGAGTGGGACAGGGTGTCCCAGCCTGTAACTAGCAGCTGCTTTGATGGAAATTAAGTGCCTAAAATCCCTTTGCAGTTTACAGAAGTTTTCCTTAAGCCGCAGTTGCTCAGTGTTTCCCTTTACCTGTAACAGGCTCTGCAGTGGCCAGGCAGGCAGTGGCACAGCCCAGGCCTTCCACGGCATGATGGACCGCGTGCCCAACGAGCCCTCTTACCGAGCCCCGCTGGAGAAACTCTTCTACCTGCCGCACGTCTGCAGCTACACCTGCCTGTCCCGCGTCCGTCCCATCCGCAGCGATCAGTACCGCAGCAAGAACCCCCTGCTCATCCCGCTGCTCTACGACTTCCGACGGATGACGGCCCGCCGGCGGGTTAACCGCAAGATGGGCTTCCACGTCCTCTACAAGACGCCGTGCGGGCTGTGCCTGCGCACCATGCAGGAGATCGAGCGCTACCTTTTCGAGACAGACTGCGACTTTCTTTTCCTGGAGATGTTCTGCCTGGACCCGTACGTGCTGGTGGATCGCAAGTTCCAGCCCTACAAACCCTACTACTACATCGCAGACATTACCAAGGGCAAGGAGGACGTGCCGCTGTCCTGTGTCAATGAGATCGATAACACCCCGCCTCCGCAGGTGGCCTACAGCAAAGAACGCATCCCCGGCAAAGGGGTTTACATCAACACCAGCTGGGAATTCCTCGTGGGCTGCGACTGCAAAGACGGCTGCAGAGACAAGTAGGTGACTCCTCGTGTGTCGCTGGGCCTGGAGGGTGGGGGACAGCGCCTGGACTCTGTTGCCTGCCCTGATAACAGCCCAAGGTGGACCTGCTCGGGACTTTAAGCCCATGCAGCTCTGGATGGTTGCAGAGTTGACTCCAAGTCAAGCCCTGTGTGCCCGTCTCTGCGTATACGCATGCAAAAAAGATGGGATTTCTTTTCCTTTCTGCAAAACCAGTCTGTTAAACATAACTTCTGAGGCATGGGTGGGTTTTTCTGTGTGTCTCTCTAGATCGAAATGTGCCTGTCACCAGCTGACGGTCCAAGCGACGGGCTGCACCCCGGGTGGGCAGATCAACCCCAACTCAGGATACCAGCACAAAAGGCTGGAAGAATGCCTCCCGACAGGGTAAGTAGAGCTGCGTCTTCTCCTTCCCTCACAAATACCAGCCCCAGAAACTTGGCCTCCGATGCTATCAGAGAGGCAGTATTTCCCGGAGCTAAGTGCAGGTGCTGAAAACCTGCCTCTGTTCTTGATTATTCTGCTGATGTGTGGCCCGGGATCTCTGTGCATTACCGTAGTACCTGGCAACTACACTCTCGCTACTCTGCCGAGCTTTAAGTTGCTGCTGCAAGTCCCTCTGCATCATTGCTGGTACAACACCAAGTCTTGGGATATTGATTTAGCAAGGAAGATGGCACTGTTCTCCTTTCTTTCAGAGTTTACGAGTGTAACAAGAGGTGCAAGTGCAACATTAACATGTGCACCAATCGCTTGGTGCAACACGGGCTCCAAGTCCGACTGCAGTTATTCAAGACGCAGAACAAAGGCTGGGGCATTCGCTGCCTTGATGATATTGCTAAAGGCTCTTTTGTCTGCATCTACGCAGGTAGGATCTCACCCTGCTAAACAAGCAGGTAGAAGCCTCTTGGTTTTGAAACAGGTGCTGTGAACGAAAAGCCTTTGTTGAGCCAGAGCTCATGATGGTGGTCACATGTATTCAGATAGGAATCTGCTTTGGTTTGGGTAAGGAGGTGGGGAACGAGTATTGGAAAAGATCTGGTTGTGTCAAGCTTGTGTCAGGCCCGAGATCCAGGTTTCGTTTATCACAAAATGCCAAACCCAGCAGAAGGGGTGTGAAGCTCTTCCTGCCCTCGTTAAGGGGACAGGAAGGCGAAAACTTAGATGATGAACTTGCAGCACTTTGATTTCCTGATTGATGCCCCTCCCTTGCTCAACTCTGAAGCAAGATGCTGCAGAAACCAGCTGTGGCTGCAGTGCCAGCGTCAAGAGAAGTGCTCCGATCCCCAGAGCTGTTCCTGCGCACTGAGGGTGAATCAGCACAGACCTGTTTCCTGTTTGCATCAAACCAGTTGCTAGGACATTGGCACAAACCGATAAAATGCAGAAGTTGCGCAGCATGGTTGCGTTAACTCTGAAACAAAACTAACCCTGGGCATTGCCTGAGTTCTCCTGCTCTGATTTCTTGCCCTTAACATTGCCTCTGTGCTACACCGTCACCTCCAGCCCTTCGGGGGAAAAGCCAGTCGCCCTCTTTGAATTGAATTGCTGTTTGAGAGATTTCCGTGTTGGAAGCCTGGATGTTGGCGAGGGCCCACTTTAGATCAGCCACGTGCTTCAGATTTTCATTATCTCGAGTATCAGGGTAATACGCTGTCCTTTCCCGGCCCAGCTTTGGACTAAGGTGTTGTCAGGCCTGTTTGCTACTCAGTGAGCCTTTGGGGAGGATAAAATTTATGGGGTAGGAATGCCATCCCTGGAAAACTCACACTTAGTTTTCTATTTCCCATCCCCAGGGAAAATCCTCACGGATGACTTTGCCGACAAAGAGGGGTTAGAGATGGGTGACGAATATTTTGCAAACCTGGATCACATCGAGAGCGTGGAGAACTTCAAGGAGGGCTACGAGAGTGACGCAAAATGCTCTTCTGACAGCAGCGGGGTGGACCTCAAGGATGAAGAGGAGGAAAACACAGGCACTGAGGAGCAGGAGGAGTCCAACGAGGACAGCTCTGACGACAACTTCTGCAAGGACGAGGACTTCAGCACCAGCTCGGTATGGCGCAGCTATGCCACGCGACGGCAGACCCGGGGCCAGAAGGAGAACGGGCTGTCAGAGACGGCCTCCAAGGACTCAGGGCTCACCCGGCAAATCAGCCACGATGAGACGGCGGTGGCTGCCTCCTGCAAGCTGCCGGTGTCGGAGGAGACCTCGAAGAACAAAGTGGCCTCGTGGCTGAGCTCCAACAGCATGTCTGACGGCTTCCAGGACAATGACAGCACCTCCTCCTTCAAGATGAGCGAAGGTGGCGAAGCCAAGGCCAACAAAACAGAGCCTCCTGGTGAAAGAGAGAAAGCCTGTGCTTCTGCCCCGGGCGACCTGGACGGAGAGTCAAAGGCATCAAAGAAAGATGTAAGGGAGGGCTGTGGGACTGGGAGATGAGTGTTGGCCCCTGCCTCGGGGGGCACAGATGAGGAAATAGAGACACAGAGATGTGCTCTTGCTCAGATGGCTTCTCTACCCCCTACAAGACGACTGTGGTGCTGTTTGGTGTCCCCTTGCCCCGCTTCCTTGGCCTTTGCCCACTGTGGTGGGGTAGGGAGGTGCCTTTCCCCCTTCCAGGGGGAAGTTGTGGCACAGGAGCCTACAAAGAAGTTGCTCAGCATGAGCTGAGCTTAACATCCCTCCTGCCCTGGGCGCGACGTGCCTGTGCAGCCCTGAGAGAGGGAGCCACCGCCAGCCCGGGTACCCGCGGTGGTGTGGGGAGGGTTCAGACAGGGCTGGGGACTCCGGGCGGTGGAGAGGTGGTCTCCGTCCACCCCCTGCTCTGGAGAGGGGACTCAGAGACCCAACTGCGTGGGATGCGGAGGGTGGGAGAGCTGTGCTCATCACACAGCCCTTCCGGAGCACCCCCGGCGCTGAGGGGGGTGGCCGGCTTCTCGCACCTGGGCTGGTATTTGGGGAGCATTTCCACAGAAGGGCTGAAGAGTGCTCCAAAAGGGAGAGCTTTTAATCTTCTGTACTTCTTCCCTCTGCAGGAACCTGAAGATCCAACCAAAATTCCTGGGTAAGGTTCCTTAAATTATATTTTCCTGCTTTTTATTTCCAAATATCGCTCAGAATGAATTGCTGCAACTCGAGGGCTGCCCCTGAACTCTATTAATGTCGCTGCCAGAGTGCACCGCGAGGTTGGGAGGGTTTGGGCTGTGCCCCAGTGTGCACTGGAAGTTAAACCCTTGGAGATGGCAGTCTTGTCCAGCTCTCAGCTTTCCTCCACTGCTCCGTCCCTGCCTGGCCTGCGGACAATCTCCCCGGTGATGCAAGCGTGACCCGCTCTTGTCCTCGCTCCCCCGCCAGGTTAAGCGACTTGGGAAGGATGTATGGCTACAACCCGAGCCCTCCCAAACTGGAAGGGATCCGGAGGCCGACGAGCAAGACCGCCCTGCTGCAGAGCAGACGGCATTCTCTTGCCACGCAGCCCGCCACGGATGTGAGCGGTGATCCTTCAGGCTTCAGACGTGGGCTGGAAGGGGTGAGCCTGGCTATGCCTCAACTCCACATTGGTTTGATGAAGACCTTGAACCTTACTTCGGGTTGTTTCTGTGCCACTTTCAGTCCCAGTTGAGCACCAGCGCAGGGCTTCTGGTTCGTAGTTGGGATTTCCTGGGGGGCAGTCGATTTCCTTCAGACAGCGGGGGTCTTTCATGGCTCTGAAAGCACCTCCTACCCCCCCCCTCCCCAAAAAAGAAGAGGACAGCATGGTGTTCGTGCCATGTGTTAGACTGGGAGGTAGCACCTCGGTTCGCATACTCGGTGCGTGATCCACTTCAAACGGGCGTCCTAGCACACAGAGCTCCTCTGCTAGAAAAGAGCAAAATACACTGGGGGGAAAAAGGGAGCCCTGAACATCTCTTGGGAAGCGATGAAACGATGCTTTCCCCTGACCCGAGGAGCACCCAAGAGCTGTTAATGCCTTTCTGCAGGACGTGCTGACCCTGTCGAGCAGCACAGACAGCGAGGGGGAGAACGGGCAGACGGCGGCGGGGCAGGCCCAGGGCACCACCAACGACAGCGATGACATCCAGACCATTTCCTCGGGCTCCGAGGAGGAGGAAGGGGACGACAAGAAAAATCCCTCGTCTGGGTCAGGTGAGGATAGCTGCTGGGGGAGGAACAAGGGCTGAGTGCGGAAAGTACTGAGGTACAGCAAGACATTTTGGCCAGAAACCACCAGGAAGGGCTCCTGGGGACGTAGCAGCTGTGAGCACGGCGTGTCCTGCTCCAAGCACCTCTGAGCTTTGTCTAATGACCGAGTTCTGAAGCTTCCCCGTGTGTCGTTTGAGCCGTATCTGCAAACCCCCGTCCTCAAGTACTAGACATTTGTGGGTATCTTAAGAAAAAGCGGCCGTGAAGCGCAGTATGGTGGGTTTCCAGGCTCCACTGGGTCGAGCGGAGAGCTGGGGGATTCCCAGGAGCCCTCCCGGGGTGGGATTTTAGATCTGAGCTGCATCCCTAAGGGGTTTATTACCCTCCCTGTGAAAGAAGAGAGCGTCTTGGGCCAGCAGCACTACTGCGGGGTTCCTTTTCTGGAAAATGGAGAGAGAACACGGCAGGGTTCTCCTCTTGTGGCAGGTCCTGTGAAGAGGCAGGTGGCGGTGAAATCCATTCCCAGGAGCCCTCCCGGGGTGGGATTTTAGATCTGAGCTGCATCCCTAAGGGGTTTATTACCCTCCCTGTGAAAGAAGAGAGCGTCTTGGGCCAGCAGCACTACTGCGGGGTTCCTTTTCTGGAAAATGGAGAGAGAACACGGCAGGGTTCTCCTCTTGTGGCAGGTCCTGTGAAGAGGCAGGTGGCGGTGAAATCCACCCGAGGTTTTGCCCTGAAATCAACTCACGGCATCGCCATCAAGTCGACCAACATGGCAGCGGCCGACAAAGGCGAGAGCGCGCCCGTCCGCAGAACCACCCGCCAGTTCTACGACGGAGAGGAATCCTGTTATATCATCGATGCCAAGCTGGAAGGGAACCTGGGTCGCTACCTCAACGTGAGTCACTGCCCTTGGCCGGGGACGAAAGGGGAACGTCCCTTGGCAGCTGAGAAGGGAAAGGGACATGTTTGGGGTGACCTTGGGGTGTTCCTCCCCAAGACTAGATAAAATACAGTAAAAAAAAGTGGGAAAAGAGCAGGACTAGGAGGATGATCCACCCCCACAAGTGAAATAGGGAGCTGCTCTGGCCCCGTGACGCGTGGCCAGTCAGTCCTTCCAGCGACCATTACCTTTGCAAGCGCGGATCTTATGACTCATCCCTGGTTGTGCAGGCAGGGGAGGGAGCGCGTCCTGTTCCAGCAGGCTTACGCTGGATGCAGCGGACAAATCGGGAATGCTGCGTGTTTCTGAAGGCTTGTGTTTACTGCTGGCTGCTTTGCATCCCTCCCGACGCAGGAACTTGCTCACTGTGTTTGTCTCCGCTCCCTTTACAGCATAGCTGCAGTCCTAACCTCTTCGTGCAGAACGTTTTTGTGGACACGCACGACCTCCGCTTCCCCTGGGTCGCCTTCTTCGCCAGCAAGTGAGTCGTGGTGCGCTTGGGGAAGAGCTGCCAGGTCATGGGGCTTGGTTGGACCCAGCTCCTCGGCCGGGGCTGTGCGACGAGCGCGGGGCTGGGTGTTTCCTACTCCTGGTAACGGCCGTTTCACACCAGCCTGGGCCAGCAGAAACTTGGAGAGGAGTTGGGTGAGGACCTCTCTCCTGTGCTGGAGCTTCTGGTGTGATTTGCATCAATTTTAGGCCTTTCCAAAGGGGAGAGTTAAGGAGGGAGAAGCCGGCTGCCCAGCTTGTTTGAGTCGCAAACCTCGCAGGCAGCACCGGGCGTTGTGAGTCCCCGCCACGTGCCTCTCGGGCACCGCGAGCGTGGCGTCTCCTCTCTGAAGCCCCACGGGAGTGATTCATCGGGGAACTTTGTCCCTTTGCTCGCCGTGGAGCCCAGGGCAGCTGCGCTGGCCGCTTCACCCTTGCCCCAGGGGAAGCTGGACCGGGCTGCCCTGTCCACAGAGGTCATACATAAGCCTTGCTCTCTGCTTATCCCACTTTTTGGAATGGCCTCTTCTCCCAGCCTGTGCTCCTTTTTTTTTTTTTTTTCTCCTAACTTCCCAGGAGGATCCGAGCCGGCACAGAGCTGACGTGGGATTACAACTACGAGGTGGGCAGCGTGGAAGGCAAGGAGCTGCTGTGCTGCTGCGGGGCTATTGAGTGCCGAGGGCGGCTGCTGTGAGCCCACCCCTGCTCCCTCCGGATCCCTCTTGGCCGCAGGCCTGGTGCTGACTTTCCCTTTGTGAGGGTAAAGTTTCTTCTCAAGAGGTGGTTGTTTAATTGTAACCGTTACGAAGCCAAATACGGTGGCTTCAACTTTTCCCCGTTCACTTGAAAATTACAGCGGCAGATGGACCCGGAACAGAAACGTCACCTGGCACGTGCGTGACGGCGGTGCCCAAACGCGATGCTGTCACAGCTTTGCTTCTACCGCGTCCCCGGGGCTACAGTCACCCCCTGAGAGGACGATCTGGCCCTCTGTGCCGCAGGAAAGGCCGTCAGCCAAGCCCTTACCTGCCCGAGCTGTTGACAAGCAGCCATTTCCTGCTCCCTTCCAAAATTTAAGACACAAAGCCCCGGGCAGCTACAGCTCATGCTGGTGTTCCTGCCGGTTTTCCAGCAGGAAACACTTCCCCAAGGCTCCCGGGAAGTGCTTTTCACGGTTGGGACTGAGCTGGTGACGTCCCTGGGGGCTTGGGACCGGACTGGGAGGGAGCGAGGATGGTGGAGATAAGCCCAGTAAGAGTGGACCAATTTGGATTTACAGTGGTGACGTGAATTTAAGTGAGAAAAAAACCCAAAACAACGCATCTGTCCTCAACTGTGAGATGTTGTAAAGAATCTTTTCATTGTTAAAAAGCAATAAAGTATGTTTTTCTATTAAAAAAAAATACTGCCCTGAACTTTAGGCACAGTCAAAAGCCCCAAAAGAGCGGGATTTCACCACTCCGGTCATCCTCGTCTCCTGTGGGCTTGCAGGAAAACTGCCGGGCAGGTTACGCTGTGCGTGGGCAGCGGGACGGCAAGGAGCTCCCGCGGGCATTGTCACCTTTCCTTCCTTCTAGCAAAACAAATACTCGTTAAATCCTCCCCTGGGTAGAACTGAAGAGAATCTGGGTGAACTGTGCCTGCTAGGGAGCGGCTCTGACGCCGACCGCCTTCTCCCACCCCCCAGGAACTAACTAGGCTCAAATTAAGGAGTTTGGCTTAAAAATACTGGGCTGAAGTTGGAGCCGAGACAGCCTTGAACTTGACTGAATCAAACCAAACTTGATTTGGGCACCTGCGGCCGGGGGTAGGGACGGGCAGAGGGAGGGTGGAGCGTTTTTTGTGTGCTGCCGGCCGGACATGCCCCCAGCGGCCGCTCCACCACTAAAACGCGCTTTATTTTTTTTCTCCCCCCTCCTCGGCAGCAAGGCACCATTTCAGGTGCTGGGGTTTGGGGCTTTTTTCCTTTTTTTGGGCAGGGTTTGTACCTGCACAGCCAAAGAGTTCAATAAACCCCCATGAGCACAGGCTAAAAAAGGCAGATTTTTTTTTTTTTTTTACAAATCGGAATCAATTGTAAGATTCGTACACCCCC